CCCCTGCGATATTATACAGATGGAACACACACACACATACATACATACATACATACATACATACATACATACATTACATACATTACATACATTACATACATACATACATACATACATACATACATCCATACATCCATACATCCATACATCCATACATCCATACATGCATCCATGCATCCATACATAGATACATAGATACATACATACATGCATGCATACATGCATATATACAAGAGACCCCCCCATTCCCACAGGAGACCCTCCCATTCCCACAGGCAGGGTGGGGAACCATGACCATGACGGGTGGGGTGGGGTTGCAGGCCTGTACCATATGTGCGTAATTCAAGGTCAAGGTATGGACATCAGTTTTCGCAGGAAGTTCCACATCGAAAAGCTGCGGTGCGTGGACACCCCTTCTCCAGGATCTGGTTGAATGTAGGTGCAACAGCCGGTGAACAAACTCAACAATGTGTCCGAGACACCTGCAAGTAATTTGCATTTGACTACCAATTTTTGGCATGTTTCGCCTTTGGCCTTGTTGAGCCCTGCTTGTCTTTAGTTCCATCCTGGCACTTGTCAGGCCTGGACGTTGGCATTGTCAAGATCCACTATGGCCAGTCTTGTGGAGCGGTCAACGGTTGCGCCACGAATGTCTGCCATGTCATCAAGGATAGCTGCGCGCGCGACCTTGGCATATCAGAAGGGCCAACGGGCTTCGTAATTTCTTATTTCGTTTTTCCCACCCTCTTTTCTCCTTTTATCCCCTACTATTTGTCTCATTCCTCTGCCGCATCTTCATGGCACAACAAACGCTGCCAGCCCTCGTTTTTGCATCATATTGCACCCGTTCACCCCGCCTGTGCATCTCCCAGAAAAGCTTCTTGCCTCGCCACCAACTGATCTGCGAGCTGAAGCCCAAGCAAACGCTGCACCTCAAAGCACCAGGATGGTCTCGGAGCAATGCAATATCGCCCTTCCCAAGGAGTTCAATATCAGGGCCTACGTCACCAGCTTCGAACAAAGGCTCAGACCACATTGTGTTTTGCCAAACTGAGCAATTCGCGAAAGTGGAGATACACCTGCACTCAGTGCATGCAAACTCGACCTGTTCATCGCATCATTGCAACTTGATTGCATCACGGTGGCCAATAGCGACCCAACAACCCCTCCTCTCCAAACACGTTTGGCAAGGGCCCTCCCCCCGCGCAGGACCCTTGTAAAATAAGCTTCAGTGGTATCCCCAACAGCCGCAACGTTTTATTTTTACAAATCTTTCTGAAGCGTGCTGCAAAGCCAAGCGCTGGAAACCTCAGCTAGGTTTCCGTGAGTTAAATGAACCTGGCCTGGCTTGGCTTCTGCAACCTTCTCCGGAACCCGTTAAATTTGACTTGGCTTTGCACAAGGCTTCCTGATACCTTCTCCGGAACCTTCTCCGGAACCCTGTTGAACCTGACCTGGCTCTGCACCAAAGCAACCTTCTCCGGAACCCTGTTGAACCTGACCTGGGCTCTGCACCAAAGCCTCCCAGACCTTCTCCGGAACCTTCTCCGGAACCCTGTTGAACCTGACCTGGCTCTGCACCAAAGCCTCCCAGACCTTCTCCGGAACCTTCTCCGGAACCCTGTTGAACCCGACCTGCCTGCACTAAAGCCTCCCAAGCCTTCTCCGGAACCTTCTTCGGAACCATGTTGAACCTAACCTGCCTCTGCACCAAAGCCTCCCAGACCTTCTCTCAGGAACCCTGTTGAACCTGACCTGGCTCTGCACCAAAGCCTCCCAGACTTCTCCGGAACCTTCTCCGGAACCCCTGTTGAACCTGACCTGGCTCTGCACCAAAGCCTCCCAGACCTTCTCCGGAACCTTCTCCGGAACCCTGTTGAACCGAACCTGGCTCTGCACCAAAGCCTCCCAGACCTTCTCCGGAACCTTCTCCGGAACCCTGTTGAACCGAACCTGGCTCTGCACCAAAGCCTCCCAGACCTTCTCCGGAACCTTCTCCGGAACCTTGTCTGGAACCTTCTCTGGAACCTTCTCCGGAACCTTGTTGAACCTGACCCGGTGCCTGCACCAGTGCACACCGGAGCTATTCTGGGCTGAAGACCCCAGTAGCTTACGCTGTTGGGGAAAAATAGACAAACCGAGGGGGTCAAAGCAGGCAGCACGCGCAAATCCAGTGAAAGGAGGCGGTTTTTCACACTGATCTCGTGTCAAGCGTGGCGTATATGCTGGGAACCGATCAAGCTCGATATCTCTATGATCACAGAGCAGCAATTACTTGGCACGTTGGCCCCAACATGCCACAACATGCTTCGCAAACAAGAAATTGCAGAAATTACAGCAGAACAAAAGTCAAATACTGAAAAAGACCGGCGTTGTCCGATAGAAGCCGGAAAGTTCTGGTACACAGAAATGCCGGCCAACAGCGCAACTACACTACACAGACACATCAAAAACATCAAACGCATCAAACAAACACATCAAAACACTGTCAAGCAAATCAACATATGCCTTCAGGCAAGTTGAGATTCCAGCCTCGAACTGGGCGTCTGTGGGCTGGCACTGCTTGCGAGCGTCCGCCAATGTACCTCAACGCGCAATGCCAGCAACCCTTGTGACGTGCAATCTCGCTGCTTGTTGCATTCTGATTCTTTGATATTCTTTGTTCTCTTTGTTCCAGCTGGTGCGCCATGGTCCCTTTCCAAAATATCCCGAGATTTTTTCCCCAAACAGTATGCTGTTAGGGGTTCTTTATGCTTTCTTAAGGCGTCCGCCTTGGTGTTGGCTGGTGTGTCCACTGCCCGAAGGTCTTGTCTCCCCTTGTCTCCCCTTGTCGCCCCTTGTCTCCCCTTGTCTCCCCTTGTCTCCCCTTGTCTCCCCTTGTCTCCCTTCTTGTCTCCCTTCTTGTCTCCCTTCTTGTCTCCCTTCTTGTCTCCCCTTGTGCCCCTTCTTGTTTCCCTTTGTTGGATGGTGTATCCGCCTTTTCGAGGGTCTTATCTCCCCTTGTCTCTCCTTGTCTCCCTTCTTGTTCCCCAAGCAGTGTACTGTTCGGGTTTCTTAATGCTTTCTTAAGTTGTCCACCTTGGTGTTGGATGGTGTTTTGTCTCCCATTGTGCCCCTTGTTGTTTCCCCTTGTTGGATGGTGCGCGCGCCTTTCCGAGGGTCTTGTCTCCCTTTGTCTCCCATTGTACCCCTTCTTCGGAGAGTTTTATGTCCCTTTGTCTCCCATTGTACCTCTTCTTGCTTTCCCTTGTTGGATGGTGTGTCCGCCTTCCCAAGGGTCTTGTCTCCCTTTGTCTCCCATTGTGCCCCTTCTTGTTTCCATTTGTTGGATCGTGCGTCCACCTTTCCGAGGGTCTTGTCTCCCCTTGTCTGCGATTGTGCCCCTTCTTTTTTCCCTCTGTTGGATGCTGTGCCCCTTCTTGCTTCCCTTTGTTGGATGGTGCGTCCGCCTTTCCGCGGGTCTTGTCTCCCTTTGTCTCCCATTGTGCGCCTTCTTGTTTCCCTTCCTTGGATGGTGTGTCCGAGGGGTCTCGTCTCCCTTTTTCTCCCGTTGATTCTTGTTTGGTGCGTTCGCCTGTCCGAGCCCCTTGTCTGCGATGGCACCCCTTCTTGTTTCCCTTTGTTGGATGGTGTGTCCGCCTTTCCGAGGGTCTTGTCTCCGATATGTTTACCTTCTCGATGTCGTGTCTCCCCCTTGTCTCCCAATGTTTCCGGTTGTCTCCACACATGTGTGCCTGTGTTGGATGGTGCGTCCGCCTTCCTGACGTCTTGTCTCCCCTTGCCCCCCATTGTCTCCGCGTGTCTCCCCACACGTTGGATTGTGCGTCCCCCTTCCGAAGGTCTTGTCTCCGCTTGTCTCCTATTACTGTCTCCCCGCATGTGTGCCTGTGTTGGATGGTGCGTCCGCCTTCCGGAGGTCTCGTCTCCCCCTTGTCTCCCATTGTCTCCCATCTTGTTTCCCTGTGTTGGATGGTTTGTCCACCTTGCCGAGGTTTTGTCTCCCCTGTCTCCCAGCTTGTCTCCCAACTTGTCTTTCTTCTTGGTTCCCTGTGGTGGGTGGTCTGCTTTTGCATTTTTTCAAACAGTGTACTGTTAGGGGTTCTTAAGGCTTTCTTAAGGTGTCCACCTTCGTGTTGGATGGTGCGTCCGCCTTCCCGAGGTCTTGTCTCCTATCTTGTCTGCCAGTTTGTTTCTCTTCTTGTTTCCCTTTGTGGCGGGTGGTCTCATTTTGCATTTTTTCCCAAACAGTGTACGGTTAGGGGTTCTTAATGCTTTCTCATGTCATGTGTTTGACCCTGTTCCTCGAAAACACGTCTTGAATCCACCCACTGTTTGGGGCCTACCGTATTGTAATTCTGTTTCTCGGTTCAATATACGGTGGCAGTGCATCATTGAAAAGACACACTGGGCAATAGAAGGCCAAACAATGCAGTCAATACACCAGACAAAGCAGTTGGCCTAGCAACACGATACAAAAACGGCACAATGCTGCACAGCACATTCCATTAGGATACCGCGCAATACCATTCACGGATGTTTGGAATGAAAACCCAATAAAAACCACCTGCGTCTCAATAGGAAGCGGGTGAAAGCGGGTTCAGCGCCGACTTCACCAATTGACATGTTCAAATGTTACGGAGCCTGTGCAAACAAGTGTTCCAGCAACGAACCGAGTGCAGCTGCGCCAAGTCTCAGCCAAGAGGCTTCCAACAAACGCAGCTCTCGCGTTTGCCACAGCTATTTCTGCAATTCTCTCCGCTTTTGTCGCCTGAAGAAAACGAATCAAACAAACAATAAAGCGAACAAGTTTCCAGGGCAAAAAGGTGTGCCACATGACACGCCTGGTGACACGCAATAGATAGGCATCGCAAAGCTAAAACTATTGCAGGGGGTGGGCGATCTATGCGTGTACCAGTAGTACCTCACGAGGCGGCGGCGGAAGTTTCAAAGATACGACGCTATAGGAGAGGTGGGCTGTGGTGATGCATGGATGGCAGAGCGAATCGACTGATGGACCGAAAGGTGGTTGGAGTTGTGTTTTTCGGAGTGGTTACAATGGTTAGTTGCTGTGGTCACCTCACCCACAACTGCCGGATGCAGCGTAGTGTAGCGCAGTTGTAGTTGTAGTGTAAGGGAGTTGTAGTTGTAGTGCAGTGCAATTAGTGTAGTGTAGTGTAGTTGCAGTTGCAGTTGTAGCTGTGGTGTGGTGTAATTAGTGTAGTACAATGTAGCGTAGTGGTCTGTAATGTTGTGTGCTGTAGTGTGGTATAGTGTGGTGTAGCCTAGTGTAGTGTAGTGTAGTCTAGCGTAGTGTAAAGTAGTGTAGTTGTAGTTGTAGCTGTAGCCGTAGTTGTAGTGTAGTGTAATTAGCGTATTGTAGTGTAATGTGGTGTAGTTGTAGTTGTAATTGTGGTTGAAGTTGTGGTCGCGGTTGTAGTTGTAGCTGTAATGCAATGGGTGTAGTGTAGTGTTGTGTAATGTAGAGTAGTTGTAGCTGTAGTCGTAGTTGTAGTGTAGTGTAACTTAATGTCCTGTAGTTGTAGTTGTAGCTGTAGCGTGATTAATTAGCGTCGTGTACTGGAATTAGTGTATATAGTGTAATTAGTGTGTAAATAGTGTAGTGTAATGTAGCGTAGTAATGCGTAATATATTTGTATTTGTAGTTGTAGTTGTAGTGTAGTGTAGTGTAGTGTGTGTAGTATAGTGTAGTGTAGTGTAGTGTAGTGTAGTGTAGTGTTGTGTTGTGTTGTGTTGTGTTGTGTTGTGTTGTGTTGTGTGTGTGTGTAGCGTAGCGCAGCGTAGCGTAGCGTAGTGTAGTGTGGTGTGCTGTAGGGTAGCATAGTGTAATGCAGTGTAGTGTTATCTGTAAGCTTGAACAAGAAGCAATTCTACGAGACCTCCTCAATGCTCGAAGTTTTGACAACGTCAAAAATGAAGCTATTCTGCGAGACTTCCTTCGAAAATGAAAGTTGAGTGCAGGGCTGACGGCCTCGTACCAATGCGCTTTGCAGTTTCTTCACTCCATCTGTCTAAAGTCCGTCTGTCTAAAGTACTGCGCCTGCCACGAAAAAGTGACGCCGCCAGATCATACGAAGTGCTGCACCTGTCACACAAAATCATCTTACCAAACCTGAAGATCTGACGCAACCACTCTCAGGAAATCAGCGCCCGGACCTCCTAACATCTCTGATGAACATGTCTCTTGTACTGCGCCTGCCACGCGACATGCATGTTAGCAGATCCTCTGCAAATGTCCCACGCCTGCCAAGGCTTTTGGACTTCCTACAAAAACCTTCACGTTTTGTTCGCTCTTGACAAGGCGCACAATCCCTTGCGCCTGCCACGCAAAACGACATCCAAAAGTGCTTCGTACCCCTCAATTTTTTTGCGCTTTTGGCTTCGAAATATGCTTCGCGCCGCAACGGCGCGCACTTTTTGCACATCCCAACTTCCAAAAGTGGTCTGAGACCATAAGTTTTTTACGCTTTTTCCCTCCACATGTGCTTCACGCCGCAACGGCGTACACTTTTTGAACATCTCAACTTCCAAAAGTGCTCCGGCAATGGTGTGCTTTGTACATTTTGACTTGGAAATGTGCTTCGCGCCACAACGGCGTGCAATTTTTCATCTCTCATCTGGCCACACCCGCCGCTTTAGCGAGCCTACTTTTCGACCCTCCGGAGCCACAAACCACTGGAGAAACACAGTGTTTCGCGACTTTCCTACCTTTTCGCGCGCCTGGATCTTCTTTCTTCTGAGAATTTCTCTTTTTTGATATTCTTTCTTCTTCTCTTCTCTTCTCTGACTCTTCCCATCTCTGCTTTTCATCTGTCCATATTGTCGGAAGTTTGACTTCTAAACTTCCTTCAATAACTAAATAGTTATCAATAATATGTGTATATATATATATATATTTATTTATAGTCTATATACATCTCAAGCAGTTTCTTCCTCCGCACAAGCCCGGAGCTGTAGCTCAACATACATGGCAAAATCTGCCGAGCAGCGTCTGATGGTCTTTTGAACCAACAAATGCCAACCCAAGTTCATGAAAGTCGGGGCTCTTAGGTTCTCCGGCCCTGACCGCTATGAAGCAGCAAGTTTGCAACAATATGATTTTGCAAGAAAGCCTTGACCAGCTCAGCATCAAGGGCTTGAGCACGCTCTCTTGCATTCCTCTCTTGGCTTCCAGTCATCATGTGCGACTGACATTCTTTTGATATTAAAAAAAGAGAAAAGCAAACATCAAGCGGTCAGGTCAATCAAACACCTGCTTCTCAAGCAATTCTTCAATGAATGGCGGCCAAATGCTGCTGCCACGCACTCCTTACAGTTTCCGATTGCCTCTCCACCTCACTGTTTGCAGCTGCGAGATCTGCGGCAAAAGCCCGGCTCTTCTCCTGTCCAGGGTCATTCCCTCCGACCTCCACATGATCCCGACCCCAACGCCACGGCAAAATCCAGCGCAACGGGAAACTGGTACAACACCAGCCATTCACAACAAAATGGCTGGGACAGCAGGACAGCACTTCCACATCCGTCACACAATGATCTGGACACCTACACCATACTTCATTTGTTACAAGTCGCAAAAACAACTGAGACACAAACACTGCAACGCATCTCGCAACGAGGCATGGGCACCAAAATGGTCAAAATGGTCAAGCAGATTGACAACCCGATGTCATTGGAAAAGAACATTTTGGAACTGCAAGAATTTTGTCGATGGCCCTTTGTTGGAGCACATGGTTTTTGGAGAACCTAATCTTTCAGAACGTTGTGGTCAAGGAACAGTACTGTTAGGAACTCAGCTCTGGAATGGTTTGCCAGCGAACCTGTATTTAACAAGTCTGTCTTTAGCAAATTTGTGTTTTGAAACTTTGGTGCTCGGTAGCCCTTTCATTGTTCATTATGATACTTTTCTGTTTGGAGATGCTTCCTGCCCGAAAACGCTTCTCAGATAGCCTTGCCTCTTTTGAAACTTGTATTTTGGTAGTCGTTTGAAGAAACTGAAAAACCCTTTGTTACGGATCTTGTCTGATACCTTTGAGCCTCGTCACTTTGCACTTTTCAAACCTTGTGTTGGAGATAGAGGTTTTGATGACTTGTTCTTGAGAATGGGGTTCCGTGCAGCTTTGAGCTTGGGAACTTTTATGTTTGGGAACCTCCTGTTTGGAACCTTCGCGGACTTATTCAAACCAATTCGCCGGACAACTGGACCACGATTGTATCTATGCTTCAACCTCGAGGCCCGAGGTGCAAACGCAGATCTCTCTCCCTGATCTTCATATTATTGAGCTGCGGCCTCAATGTCTGAGATGAACTTTCTGACCTTCTCCAACTGCTGTTGCTGGGCAAGCAAGGACTTCCTCGACAGAATTGCAAAACCAAAAGCCTTTTCTTACCGCGTGCAATTACTGCAACACCTTTCAGACCTGACCATCAGCCTAATATGCCAGCACCTGGTGTGGTTCAGGAGCTCTTCAGCGACAGCCGCCTTTTCCTGCACTTGGGTCCCTTGGGTCTATTGGTTCCTTCTGCGTAAGGGACGAAAGCTAGCTTGACAGGGAGCTTAGCATGAAAACACAAAGGGCATAGCGCAGCTGCGCAGCTTTTTCGTCAATGTGGACGAGCGGGTCTGAAGCTGGGGCATGTTCGTAAGGTGAACATCCAAACCTACGTGTCGAGGCGATGTATGTTGGGGATGGGGATGAGAACATATGATTATTATGCACAGTTGCAAGAAGAGGATGAGGAAATTCAGCATAACGAGCATGATGACTAGTGATCGGGGAAGATTCAAAGGTCCACCTTCGGCATCGGAGTGGACCTTTGGAAGCGCGGGAAGAAGTAACGCAGTGCAAAACCGAAGTTGAGGACGAGAGGTAGGTGTCCGGGCGCAGCATGAAAATGAAGCTCGGCCAAGGCTCCATACAGTGTAAAGTGTGAAAAGTGTAAAGTTGTGAGGGTGTAAAGTGAAGTGTGCAGTGTAGTGCATGGACTGTAAAGTCCAGAGTGTGGAGTGTGGAGCGTGAAGTGTGGAGTGTGGAGTGTATAGTGTGGAGTGTGGAGTGTAGAGTGTGGAGTGTAGAGTGCGGAGCGTAAAGTATAGAGTGTAAAGTTCAGAGTGTAAAGTGTGGAGTGTGGAGTGTAAAGTGTAGAGTGTGAAGTGTACAGTGTAGAGTGTAAAGCGTAGTGTGTAGAGTGTGGGGTGTGGGGTGTTAAGTGTAGAGCGTGGCGTGTAGAGTGTAGGGTATGGAGCGTAAAGTGTAGAGTGTAGTAGAGTGTCAAATGTAAAGTTTAGAATGTGGAGTGTGAAGTGTAGACTGTGGAGTGTCAAGTGTCAAGTGTAAAGTGTAGAGTGTGGAGTGTCAAGTGTAGATTGTGGAGTGTGGAGTGTAGAGTGTAAAGTGTAGAGTGCGCAGCGTCAAGGGTAGAGTGTAAAGTGTAGAGTGCGCAGTATCAAGTGTAGAGTGTAATGTGTAGAGTGCGCAGCGTCAAGTGTAGAGTGTAAAGTGTAGAGTGCGCAGTATCAAGTGTAGAGTGTAATGTGTAGAGTGTAGGGTGTAAAGTGTAAAGAGTATATAACGTGTAGAGTGCGGAGTGTCAAGTGTAAAGTTTGAAGTGTGAAGAGCAAAATGTAAAGTGTAAAGTATAGAGTACAGAGTGTGGAGTGTAAAGAGTACAGTAAAGTGTGGAGTGTCAAGTATAAAGTGTGGAGTGTAAAGTGTAGAGCGTGGAGTGTAAAGTGTAGTGTGTAGTGTGTGGAGTGCGTGGTGTAAAGTGTAATGCGTGAAGTGTAAAGTGTAGAGTGTAATGTGTAGAGTGCGCAGTGAGAGGGTAAAGTGTAGAGTGTAATGTGTAGAGTGTGGAGCGCGGAGTGTAAAGTGTCGAGTTTGGAGTGTAAAGTGTAAAGTGTGGGGTGTAACCCGTATAGAGTAAAGTGTACAGTGCGGGAGTGTCAAGTGTAAAGTGTGAAGTGTGAAGTGTAAAATGTAAAGTGTAAAGTATAGAGTGCAGTGTGTGGAGTGTAAAGAGTAAAGTGTGGAGCGTGGAGTATCAAGTGTAGAGTGCGGAGTGTAAAGCGTATAGCGTGGGGTGTAAAGTGTAGTCTGGAGTGTGGAATGCGTGGTGTACAGTGTAATGCGGGAAGTGTAAAGTGTAGTGTGTGGAGTCTAAAGTGCAAAGTGCGCAGTGTCACGTGTAAAAAAGTGTATATAATGTGTAGGTTGTCGGGTTTGGAGTGTAAAGAGTAGAGTATAAAGTGTAGAGTGTGGGGTGTCAAGTGGAAAGTGTGCAGAGTAAAGTGCAAAGTGTGGAGTGTAGGGTATAGTGTGGAGTGTGGGGTGTAAAGTCTAAAGTGCAAACTCTAAAGTCTAGAGTGTGGAGTGTATAAAGTCTAGAGTGTGGAGTGTAAAGGGTAGAGTGCCCAGTGTCAAGTGTAAAATGTGAAGTGTAAAATGTAAAGTGTAAAGTGTAGAGTGTGGAGTGTCAATTGTAAAGTGCGAAGTGTGAAGTGTAAGGTGCAAAGAGTGGAGAGTAAAGTGCAAAGTGTGGAGTGTAAAGTGTAAAGTGTAGCGTGTGGAGTGTAAAGTGCAGAGTGTGGGGTGTAAAGTGTAGAGTGTGGAGTGTAGAGTGTGGAGTGTCAAGTGTAAAATGTAGAGGGTCGAGTGCAAAGTGTAGAGTGTGGAGTGTCAAGCGTACGAAAAATTGGAGTGTGGAGTGCCAAGTGTAAAGTGTGAAGTGTAAAGTGGAGCGTGTAGAGCGTGCAGTGTGGGGTGTTTCGCGTGGAGTGTAAAGTTTAGAGTGTGGAGTGTGGAGTGTAAAGAATAGAGTGTAGAGTGTTGAGTGTATAGAATAGAGTGGGGAGTGTAAAGGGAGTGTAGTGTCTTAGTGTGTTAGTGTGTTAGTGTGTTAGTGTGCTAGGTGTTAGCGTGTCGGCGCATTAGTGTGTTAGGGTGTGTGTGGGTGTGTGTGGGTGTGTGGGGGTATGTGTGGGTGTGTTAGTGCGTGTTAGTGCGTGTTAGTGCGTGTTAGTGCGTGTTAGTGCGTGTTAGTGCGTGTTAGTGCGTGTTAGTGCGTGTTAGTGCGTGTTAGTGCATGTTAGTGCATGTTAGTGCGTGTTAGTGCGTGTTAGTCCGTGTTAGTGCGTGTTAGTGCGTGTTAGTGCGTGTTAGTGTGTGTGTGTAAAGATGCAGAGGATGCCGATGCTGCCGATGTTGCTGATGGTGTCCCCGGGGGGGTTGAGCCCACGGCCAAACTGCTTGTGAACCGGGGGATTGTGTAGGCTTAGTTGTGGAGGCTTTGTTGCGACTATTGCCTGAGAAAGCTGTGAACGTTGCCTGATTCGTGATCATTCCGTCAAATTCTGGTTGTCTATATAGAAGTTTCAATTGCCGTTTTATGTCGTTTCCATTCCCTGGTTGGACGACGCTTCCGACGCCACAAAAGGCCAGTTGTAAAAACCCAGAATTCTTTGTTCATTGACAATCTACAAGAATGGTTTCAGATATGGTTTTGAGAATACTTGTTCTTAGCTACAGTAATTTCGGCACATCCCATGGTGGGGCTGGCACTGGCGGCAAGTGGGTACAAACACCCCAGAGCCCTACGAGTAGGATGTTACTGGGGCCGGAGTTGGGGTCTGCATTTTTTCCAGCGCTTAAAAGCATGGTCACTGGGTCAAACGAGATGTTTTGTTTGGCCTCAATCCGCCAATTGAGTCTCACGTATTGTCACCATTTTTTGTGGGTTTGTTCTATCCCCAACCCTTTTTTATCCTTTTTTCCCCACATCTTTGTGTGGGGTTCTTGTTTTTGATTCTGTATCCCGGGCTTCTCCTCCTCCTCCCGCCGCCTCCGTAACACAACACACACAAACTTAACATACAATAATTTCACACACACAAACTTAACACACACAAACTTAACACACACAAACTTAACAGACAATAACTTCACACACACAAACTTCACATACTTCACACACACAAACTTCACATACAATAATTTCACACACACAAACTTAACACACACAAACTTAACAGACAATAACTTCACACACACAAACTTAACACACACAAACTTAACACACACAAACTTAACAGACAATAACTTCACACACACAATAACTTCACACACACAAACACACACACAAACTTAACAGACAATAACTTCACACACACAAACTTAACACACACACAAACTTAACACACACAAACTTAACACACACAAACTTAACAGACAATAACTTCACACACACAAACTTAACATACAATAATTTCACACACACAAACTTAACATACACAAACTTAACACACACAAACTTAACACACACAAACTTAACAGACAATAACTTCACACACACAAACTTAACATACAATAATTTCACAAACACAAACTTAACATACACAAACTTACACACACAAACACACAAACACACAGAACTTAACATAACACAATAATTTCACACACACAAACTTTTCGTTTCACGTGGCAGGCGTGGCACAAACTCACATCTACCGTCGTTTTGCGTGGCAGGCGTGCCACTTATGGTACTGGGTGGCGCCCTTGGGCCGGGATTTGGCGCTGGGGCGCCGCGCCACTTTGCGTGGCAGGCGTGGCACAACCTGACATCCACCTTCGTTTCACGTGGCAGGCGTGGCACAATCTCACATCTACCGTCGTTTTGCATGGCAGGCGTGGCACTTATGGTACTGGGTGGCGCCCTTGGGCCGGGATTTGGCGCCGGGGCGCCGCGCGTAGAAAGCGGAGCAACTTACTCACAAACAACCTACTCACAAACAACTTACATACATACATACATACCTACCTACCTACCGACCTACATACATACATACATACCTACCATTTTACCTTCTCGATCTTTCACCATCTCCTTTGTCTTTCTTTGCTTCCCTGTCCCCGCTAAAACCATTGAAGCTCATTTTAGGGAGAAGTTGACTTGTGGGGTTATCCGGTCCTTTAATTGGCTACTGCTGTTCCGGGGTCGGCAGCAGTGGGCGGCAGCCTCACAAATCCAGGGCCGCCAAGCACCCCAAGCATGCACGCATCAGTGGTCTTACATCTTACATGGTTCGAGGACTGCGACCTATCATCAGCGGTGAACTTTTAGAAGTTCAAAGCAAACCCTTCTCTTGCTGCCCTGCCATACCAGGGAGATAGCTTGCACATTTGTTCTGTCGTCAGAATTTGGACATCTATTAATTCGGTGGGCAGGTTTCGACCCATGTCCTCTGCCTCGCTGGCTGCACTAGTGGCATTGAAAGCTTTTTCCTGCGCTACTTCATGCGCAACCTGTCAGTGCGGAGCCAATACAAAGAGAATATCGTCCGAGCACAGCTCTCGACAACACAACTAAGCACAGAGGATTACAGAGGTATCTTCAATCCCGTTGTCTTTGCTTGGCCGCTCTGTTTTGAACCAGAAAGCTGTCAAACATTGTCCCATCCCAAGTCGAACGCATGGGCCTTTGCATCCACGAGACTTGTGTTCACCATCTGCACCTGCATTTGACTTGGACGATTGTTTTGGACACTGACCTTGACATATTTCGAATAACTAGCTGTTGGCTTACATGCTTCGAGTGCAAAGCAAAGGGGGCCATATGGCGGCCATTGCTGCAAAGTGAACCAAATATGGAGTTGTTCCACCTCCTCGAGTGCTTTCTCCAAATCCTTCTCTGCTTCCACCCAGCGCAACTCGGCTTCCTGCACGAAACAAAACCGTATCCTTGCTATACACGTCATCAACACATCTTCAATGTATGCCTCCAGATTCCAACACAACCAACCCTTGTTGGACATGCAAGAATCTCATGCGCAAACACTGCCTTACGCACATCCACAGCGTTCATCAACTGCAGCACTGCATCCTAGCAAGATTTGGCAGAACTTATCGCTTTGAGGCAAACATAAAAATAAAAGGACCGGATAACCCCACATGTCAAGCCTTTATGTATGTAAGATTTTAATGTGAACTTCGGGGAGGTGTGAGAAGTGGACTTGTGATGCCAGGTGTGAGAAGTGGAGCTGTGATGAGTTCTGATGTGATAAGTGAGGTGTGAGAAGTGGTGTGAGAAGTGGAGCTGTGATGGGTTGGGATGTGATAAGTTGTGATGAGTTGTGATGAAAAGTTGTGATGTGATAAGTGATAAGTGAGGTGTGAGAAGTGAGGTGTGAGAAGTGAGGTGTGAGAAGTGGAACTGTGATGAGTTGGGATGTGATAAGTTGTGATGAGTTGTGATGAGAAGTGGACCTGTGAGAAGTGATGAGAAGTGGACCTGTGAGAAGTGGAGCTGTGATGAGTTGTGATGAGTAGTGGTGCTGTGATGAGTGAGGTGTGAGAAGTGGAGCTGTGATGAGTTGGTATGTGATAAGCTGTGATGAGTTGTGATGAGAAGTTGTGATGTGATAAGTGGAGCTGTGCCAGGTACTCGGAACTGTGCCAGGAGGACGCGAAAGGCAGCTGCGCCGCAGCTCCTCCATGCAGGAGGCTCTGTGTACTGCGCCTGCCACGAGAAAGGCAGCCGCGGCCCCAGCGGCGACCATGCGCGCCGCAGCTCCTCCAGGAGGGTCTGTGTACTGCGCCTGCCATGCGAAAGGCAGCCGCGGCCCCAGCGGCGACCACGCGCGCCGCAGCTCCTCCAGGAGGCTCTGTGACTGCGCCTGCCACGCAAAAGGCAGCCGCGGCCCCAGCGGCAACCACGCGCGCCGCAGCTTCTCCAGGAGGCTCTGTGTACTGCGCCTGCCACGCGAAAGGCAGCCGCGGCCCCAGCGGCAACCACGCGCGCCGCAGCTTCTCCAGGAGGCTCTGTGTACTGCGCCTGCCACGCGAAAGGCAGCCGCGGCCCCAGCGGCGACCACGCGCGCCGCACCAGCGGCGACCACGCGCGCCGCAACTCCTCCAGGAGGCTCTGTGTACTGCGCCTGCCACGCGAAAGGCAGCCGCGGCCTCAGCGGCGACCACGCGCGCCGCAGCTCCTCCAGGAGGCTCTGTGTACTGCGCCTGCCACGCGAAAGGCAGCCAGGAAGCTCTCTGTACTGCACCTGCCTGAGTGAGTGAGTGAGTGAGTGGTGAAGATGAGTGAGTGAGTGAGTGAGTGGGTGAGTGAGTGAGTGGGTGAGTGAGTGAGTGAGTGGGTGAGTGAGTGAGTGAGTTCACTGAGTGAGTTCACTGAGTGAGTTCACTGAGTGAGTTCACTGAGTGAGTTCACTGAGTGAGTTCAGTGAGTGAGTCAGTGAGTGAGTGAGTGAGTGAGTGAGCGAGCGAGCGGGCGGGCGGTGGGTGGGTGAGTGAGTGAGTGAGCGTGAGAGTGAGAGTGAGAGTGAGAGTGAGAGGTGAGAGGTGAGAGGTGAGAGGTGAGAGGTGAGAGGTGAGAGGTGAGAGGTGAGAGGTGAGAGTGAGAGTGAGAGTGAGAGTGAGAGTGAGAGTGGTGAGTGAGTGAGTGAGTGAGAGTGAGAGTGAGAGTGGTGAGTGAGAGTGGTGAGTGAGTGAGAGTGGTGAGTGAGTGAGAGTGGTGAGTGAGTGAGAGTGGTGAGTGAGTGAGAGTGGTGAGTGAGTGAGTGAGCGAGCGAGCGAGCGAGCGAGCGAGCGAGTGAGTGAGTGAACAAGAGGCGGCGGAGGGCGAGGCGGTGGGGCGGAGGCGGAAGCCCCGGCGGGATGCAAGCGAAAAACAAGAACCCCGCACAGTGATGTGGGGAAAAAAAACGACGGGATTTGAAGTGAAGGGGTGAAGGGAGTCAAAACGAGAAATCCGAGTCCTTGTCAGAGAGACTGATTACATAGTTGTCTAAGAAGCTCTCCAAGGAGCCAACCTTAGGGCGAACTGAAGTGTTGCTACAGTGTTCTTCAAGCATATTCAGTGTAATTCAAGCTCCAACTGCTGCTACTGCTGGTGCCTCGAGATCTGACACAGTATGTGAAACATCGTGAAGCTGATCACCGCCGAAGCTGCTCTTTCACTTTCTTTCCCGCAGTCTTAATTACTGAGTCTTACTGAGTAGTCTTACTGAGTTCTCCACCATGGTTACGAGCACCTCTTTTGCTGCAGCCAACAGTCTTTCACTCCACCTTGCTGACTGCGACGCCTGGGCACGTTGTGGAGCAGGTGCTCAGTATAAAGCGGTTTGTTTAAACAACAGCGGAAACACTTTGTCGAAACAGTTTGCCTCACAGTTTGGCTCACAGTTCTATGGTGCTTCTCGTTTTGATCTCATGGCCTTCACCGTATCTTGCTGCTGAAGCCAAGCAGAAACCAGGACTGTCAGGTTGTCAGAGAGCGTTTGGTTCACCAACTGAACATTCCGTTCAGCTCGGGCCAATTCCTCTCGAGCTTCCTCTTTGGCTGTCCTTCTTGTGTTACTTTGACTCACTGCCAAAAAATATTGCGACGACAAATTCTCGGTTCGGTTGAAGGCTTGCTGGGAAGCAAGAGTCAAGGATTCAGCGGTGCGCCGCCATCTCTTCAGAACTTGCTTCTTTTCATCGTAGAAGCTTTTGTTTGTGCGCAAATACTCTTCGGAAGTAACGATTTCCACTGTAAGCTGACTGCTCTGACGTCGGGCTTCCTGCACATCTGCTTCCATGGCTTTCTGTTTCTTGACTTCTGCATCAACATTGAGCTTGGCCTTTTCCAACAAAAGGATGCCATCCTGTACAATTTTGGTGGCTGCCTCTTGTTGGCTTTCCAAGTCTATCCTCACTCTCTTCTTAGCCTCAACGTCGTTGGTCAGTTCGGAGGGTACGTAAACCACGGCCTGATCTGGCTGCACACCCAAGCGTGTTTTTGCATTACTGAGGGCTTCTTGGGATAGATACTGCGCTTTCAGAAGACGCCGCGTGACTTCAAACACTGTGGACTCAGTGGGTTCAATGATTGTGTCATTGAAGCAGTCCTTGCCATGACCATCCTGCGATTCGCATGATGCAGGGGTTTTGACATTCGCACAGCCCGTTTGAATGTGGCAAGTCCGTTTGCCTTCCTTGTCACTCCTTCCAACACACAGTGGAAGAGGTCTCTGCTCTGGCTTCGTTTGATTTGCTGGTGTTTTCAGAATAAGGCATGAAACAGCACCGGCAGAGCTGCCGCCACCTGAGCCGCATCCTAAGATGATATTCTTTGCCATGTCTTCTTCCTGCTGTGCAGAGGCAAGTGCGTCTGCTGCTTCACCACGAGCTGTGCGGGCAAGCTGCCAAGATCCTTCTGCTGCCTTGAGCTTTTCAAAGACTGTCCGCAGAGCTTGCGTTGCTTGTGGTGCAAACACTGCAGACACACTTGTGCACGAGCGGGAGAAGCGGACACTTTGGGTCCTGGCTGCATCAAGGTCGGAATCGACAATCTGCTTGGCACGCTGGTATTCTACTGCTGATGCTCTGGAACGGTTCCTAACACTTGTAGCAAACTCCAAAGCTGACTTGGTCGAACTGTGCTGGGCATCTCGAGATGTGTTAGCTTCCAGCGAAGCTGCAAGAGATTGACTGGCATTGGCTTCTGCCTCTTCTCGTGCAGTTTCCGCTTTCGAATGTTTTTCTTCGGCTGCCACCTCGGTGGACCGGGCTGATGTCAAAGAGCTCGAAACTGCTTCGAAGTGCTTCACGGCTCGTTCATAGTGGGAAAAGTTGTTGCGTACACTCTGACGAGCTGCTTCTTCATCCCTCCGAGCATCCAAGAGGACTTTGGTTCTATTCGCAACGTTGGTTTGGGCTG